TTTCACGTAACTGCAAGGCCAGTGTAGTGGTTTCAGTGTAGGTTGTTTGGTTTTTTTGTTAGCTTGTTTGTTTGGGTTTTTTTAATTGTCATAATGCCATGAAAACAAACCAAAAAGAATATATGTACTGAGGTCAGGAACTAATAAGTGTACCCAAACTCATGGAGTCTTGTGCTGATCAGGGCAACAAGCTTATGTGTTTCAGTTTCAGCTCAGGAGCTGTGTGAAGGGGTCTATCTAATTGCAGAGTTAAGACTTGACCTACATCTGCCTGGGGAAAGCCAGTAAGAGGCAGCAATTCACTGGGAATGCTTTTCCCACCTGCTTCTGCAACAGTTCCTCTTTTAAACCTCACTTCGGTTGACTCCCAAATGCCTATTTGCTCAAACACAGCAACAGTAATGGTACCATTCTTAGGCTGAGCACTGTGAGGTGTGGAAAGGCTCAAAGCAGTTACAAGAACCATGTTTAACTTTTTGGAGTTTTTAGCCACCCCTTCAAACTTTTTTTTTAAATGCCTCTTTTATGGCAAAAGTGCTGGGGTGAAGGATTTTAGCACCTTGAAGCTTTTTCTGCCAGAGATTTTACACCCCAGTTGCTTTTAAGAATATGTTTATGTATGCAATAAAATATTAATTCCTTCGTCTGTGAAATGCCAGACATGTTGTAATAGTGTTTTATTACCTTGAAACCTGGGATAAAAGCTACCATGTGCAGTACTTTATTGTAGGTCTGTATGGTGTTGGTTTGGTTTTTTTCCATCATTTTGGACTTTTTCCCACTGAAGTCCGGGACAAAAGTTCTTTTGGCCTCAGTGGGAGTCGGGTAAAATATTTTTATAGGGTCTGGACCAAAATGTAATTATTTTATGCTTACAGTAAATGTGATTAAGATCTTTTAATGATGCAGGATCTTGTTACACTCTTTAACTAGATTTGTATGGAATAGCAGTTGTGCTGTGCAAGGGTACTGGCCATTGCAACTTATTCCTGAAAATCTGCTTGGGGAAGATTTTATTTCGTAGGCAACAGTAACCTGGACTGATAAGAGTTCAGCAGTAACCTGGACTGGTAACTCATGTAGCTTTTTGCAAGACTGGAAAATAATATTCAAGAAAGGGAATGTGGTTTCCTCTTATTGTGTGTGTTCAGCACAACTGTACTTCTGAAGACACTCTCTAGGACAGTGTCTCACTGGGAATTCTGCTCCTGGGACTTAATCTGCACTCAGGGTTTTTCTGGTATAAGTAGCAGGCCTGTGGAAATTAGATATAAACTCGACATAAACCCCACCTTTATTTAGGTAATGCCAGGTTTTCCTGTAGAAGAGTCATGTTAACAGCTGGAGCTCATTTGTGAATGGAAGCAGCTTGGAGTGCTAATGATGGAGAAATCCTTCGGATTCGTGGAAAGAGTTTTTCTGCTGCGGATTGTTTGTACTGTAGTCAAGCCAGCTTAGTTATCTGCTCGTTTTAAGTGCAAAATTCCCTTTCTATTTGATGCAGAAGGAACAGGGGTAAGAGGAAGTTTTATATCGGAGTGTTTGCTGGGAATTGCCAGGTATGCCCTTGGAGTCTTAATGTTGTTCAGCTTTACCTAACTGAGGGTTCCACCCAGGGGGTGAACCTTGTAGTGGTTTAGAGCAGCAGTAGCACTCCTGCCTTGGAGCTGTGTCTGAAATAAAGGATTTGTGATTAGAGCACGCACTTCTAACAACTTCCAGGTGCCAAAATACTCCCTGGGATTTCAATAGGTGGCATAATTTGAAGGAACAGAAGACAGATAGTACATCTGCCCCCAGTGATCAGGTATCTGCAGGCTGCCTTCTGCTTTTCCAGTGTTTACTGGTCATTCCACAATGACCAAAAGTTTTGTCAACCTTGTAACAACCTTGTAAAAACCTGATGTTTGTGTGTCTTTCACAACCAGTGGCAGATACTGATGGAAGAACGTGAGAACGGGAATTTATAATATGACTCTCCCTCTATATCCCCATAGATTTGGGGAACATGGAATAGAATTTTCCAGAGGTAGAAGTAGCATGCAGAACATTGTGTTTAGTTTGTGCTCTTGGTCTGTTCTCCCTGAGTTTGTAGAATCCTCTCTGAAACTATTTACTTTCTTGGCCTTAGCAACAGCTTATACCTAACAATAAAGGTAATTCCTTAAATTAAGTAAAAACAATGAAGGTCAGTTTTACAGAACTGTGTATGTGAGCATGAAAAGCATCTCCTGTGGTCATGTTAATTATTCTGGGCTCTCTGTTTGGGGTGGGTTCCAGGTTTATAACCTGATCTGATCTGATCTGACAGGTGTGACTGAAAGGGGCAGTCTTGCCTGCCTCCCTGTTTTCTCCCAGCTTTTGAGATGGCTTTGGTGCTTGTCCCACTCCTTGGTCAGCCAAATGAAGGCACCAAACTGACAAAAAACCAGGAAGTGACGGGAGCAGGCGGCCAAAGGGAGGTTGAGAGGGGTGGATGGGAAGAAAGTTTGACCTTTTAACTGCAACTAACACCCTGTTCAGCTCAGCTGTGCCCTAGAGGGCATCCTCACTGTCAGTTCCTCTACCCTGTTTTGTGATGGAAGTCTGAAAAGACAGGAGACATTAAATGCAAGCACATTTTTACTATTGAATTGGTTTCCTTTTTACTTGCAGGTATCCAAGATAGAAAAAAAGGAAGGAATTTCTCCAGTTGAAGACGTGGACTGATTTCATGTCTTGTTTAATTTGCCAAGTGGAATGTTCTGAACTGGATTATACTGTGATGATGAGCAGCGATGACCCAAGCAATTGTTGAGCTGACCATTGTAACCAAGTCTTCTTTTTTGTTGTTTGTTGGTTTGGGTTTTTTTATTGACTCCCTGGTTTATTCCCAATATACTTAAACTGTAGATTGGCTAAGGAATCATTTATTAAGGATTTCCTTAATAAATTTAACTACGTAATTTAAAATATTTGGATAAGCCCGTCATAAATAAACAAATAAATGCAGGGTAGTCTTTTGTGAAAGGAAATACACATACAAACATGAAGTTTGGTTCTCATAAATTGGATGTGATTTTTGAGTAACATTTAGCTGAAAGTAAAATTTTAACTGTTCTGGCATGTGCTGTTGAGGGCAAAAACTCATCTTACTTTGCAATAAACTTGTAATTTTGTCATGCTAATTGACTCAGTTCTTATTTTACATGTTTTTTATATATCTAACATTGGCTTTGTAGACTGTCATGTCTAACGTGAAGCAGATGAGTAATGTCCTTGTTAGTGGAATCAAAATTAGAGTTCAGCTTCTTGTTTTGTTTTGTTTGAATATTGCAGAATGAAATATAAAAACCAGCTTCCTTTGAGCTCAATTAGCGTGTTTCCCACTTTCCACCTCCTGTTTGCAAAAGCTTAAATTTTAACTTCCCTGGTCTTTTAAATGTGTCCAGTGCCTGAGTCCCTTTTCTGCCTTTTCACTTGATGTGTAGCTGTTTCTGTTTCTTTTTTAAAACTTGTTTTGAAAGGTGCACTTTTAATAGGGGAAACTAGAAACCCGTTTCTGAAGTTCAGGGCGATCAACACTCAAACAGCAGAAGAGCTTAGACCAAGTGAGACTTCAGTTAAAATGGTCCTGCATTGTGCCAGTGAGAAATGTCTGCTAAAGAGCACATTCTCCACATTTGTTTTTTGTGATCCAGACAGAGTTGATTCACTTGGAGTTAAAGATGCTTCATTGTTTGTTGTGGGTTTATTATTTTTATTTAAATACATAACTAGCTTACCTTACTTGAGGCTGCTGGTGTGAAGAGTGTTTGTTTGTCTGATGGAAAACCCCAAGTGAATTTGCCTTCTTTCGCAGTTAGTTGGGCACTTCCACTTCCCATTGCAGACAGAGGGAGTGGATGAATTTTGAACAGAAGCTCGAGAATTCATCGTATACTTGAAGGCTTCTTATTTCTTTTTTTCCTCCTGAAGCTACTAGTTTTGTCTTTCCTGGCAATCACTGAAGAGGAAAGGAGGAAACACTTGGTTTCATTCAAATAAAAAATATCAAGAATAATACAATGTTTATGTGCTTCTTTGAGAAGCTGCCAGAAGCTTCCACCGTGTCCACTGGAGTCAATGCCAGGCGGCTCGAGGACGGACCTGCTGCTGGCAAGCAATGCTGGCAATGCCTCTGGTAACGTATTTAAGAAGGAAAAAAAAAAGGTTACTGCACAGATGTAATCGCAGACTGAGATGAGAGGAGTGGGAATACGTCCTAGGAACAGCTCTGGCACCACGGTCAGTGGGGAAGGAGGGGCAGGAGGTGCTCCAGGAACCGGAGCTGAGATTCCCCTGCAGCCCATGGTGCAGCCCATGGGGGAGCAGATTCTCCTTCAGCTCCTGGAGGAGCCCCGCACCGGAGCAGGTGGATGCCCGGCGGAGGCTGTGACCTTGTGGATCGCAGCTGGAGCAGGATCCTGGCAGGACCTACGGAGCGAGGAGCCCGCTCTGGAGCAGGTTTCCTGGTAGGACTCGTGCCCCTGCGGGGGACCCACACTGGGGCAGCCAGTTCCCTGCACCCTGCGGAAGGGACCTGTGCTGGAGCAGTTCCTGAAGAACGGCAGCCCGTGGGAAGGATTCGCGCTGGAGAAGCTCGGGGAGGACTGATTCCCGTGGGAGGAACCCCACGCTGGAGCAGGAGGAGGATTCTCCTCTCCCTGCGCAGCGGCACAGCCACCCTGTGCCGCACCGAGCGAAACCCCCATCCCAGGGCAGGAGGTAGAGAGAATCGGGCGCAAAGTTACGCCTGGGGAAGAAGGGAGCGGCGGGGTGGGAGACAGCACCCCTGGGTACCGATGGTCGGGGGGGCAGGCAGCGCTGGCTGCCGGCGGCGGGCGGAGCCGGGAAGATGCCGTGCCCGCCCTGCCCCGCAGCCGGTCACATGCGGCGGGCGGAGCCGCCCCGGGGGCGGGCTCGGTGCCGCTCCATCCCGCCCCCTCTTCCCTGCTCTCCCGTCCCGTCCCGTCCTGTCCTGTCCCGACCCGCGGCGGGAGCGCGGCCGGCGGTGCCGATGGAGGCCGGCGCTGAGGCGGAGCCGCTGCTGCCCCCGCGGCGCTGGCGGGCGGCCCGCGGGCTGTGGGGGGCGGGCGGCGCTGCCCGCCGGGCCGAGCACGGTGAGTGCCCCGGGGGCGCTGGGGACGGGCGGGCGGCGCTTCCCCGCGGGGCTGGAGGGCTCCCGGCAGCGGATTAGGGCAGGGAGGGAGTGCCCCCTCTCCCCGGGCTCCGCCGCCCTGCCCCGGCTGCTCCCGGCGCTGAGAGAGCCCCTTTGTCGCCGAGCTCAGGTGCGAGCCTTTGCGCCGCTGCAGCCCCGGCTCCGGGGCTTCCTTATGTAATTTTTTTTTTTTTTTTTTTCGCCTGAAGCGCTGGCAAGTTTCCTCTCGAAGCTGGTCTTGCTCTTCAATTTCTACCCCTTCCCCCCCGCCCCGTCTCCTTCCTGTCTCCCCGGGATAGAATCATTTGGAGACCGCAGGTTCCTTGGTTTTGGGATAGCGCATCACCTGAGAGAACCTTCGCGCTTTTTTTTTTTCTTTTTTTTTTTTGTGTTGCGTGTTTGCGCGGTGCCAGAAGTGCAGCGGGGTCCTCTATGCCCGAACCGAGCGGGGCTTTAATCATCACTTGTGACTAAGTGTCACTTGCACTGACTAAGAGTTGCAGAATAAGTTGGATATCTATGGCAGAATGCATGGAGAAACTGCTAAAGTAAACATTTTTTTTTGCTAATTTCCGTGTTTTGTTTTTAGGCTATGAGCGGTTGCTTAGGTTCCACCCTTCCAAAATCTCCGCCATCAACACTAGGCTTGCTGTGTGCTCCAAGAACTTAAACCTTTTGCTGTCCTTGCCATCCTTTTGACTAATACTGTTCCTTTAAACAACTTTATCTCTAGTATGAGATGGCATGAAAAAGATAGTCTTTGCTGCGTGAGCCCGGCTTGCCTCCTGTTTATGCTCAGTCTTTCTTGCGCCGCGGTTCGTATCAGGATCAGTGCAAAACTGTGCTGTTGCTGATGCTCAGATAAAGGGTGACATTTAAAAATTGCTTGCAGTCTTTGTAGAAAGTTGATGCCGTTGAATCATGTGAAACATAAAATTTTCTGGGAGTCAGATCAGTGGCATTGCTTGGTGTCTGGAGAGCATCGTGGTAGCAGTGGGATGGGCTCTGTCCTGTTGTATCCCGTGCTGTGATTGCTGTCTCCTCGGGGGGTGTTCCTTGGGACGCTTCCCTTCTGTGGGAAAGTTATGCTAGGACGTATTTTTTGTATCTTTAGCCCCTCTCAGCGTTTCATTTTTATTTTTTTCCTTCCTCATTTTGACTGTAATTGCTTTTGTTTCTCTCATTGGCTTGATTGCCAGGTTAGTTCCTCAAAGGTCGTTGGTTCAAGTGAACACAAGTGGCTGCCTTTTATTTTTTATATAAATATCTTCATATAGACTTCCTAGTAACAGGTTTTGAAAAGTATAAATAAGTGGCATAAGTAACTAATTCAGTGATGTTTTACTTCATTTTGAGTACTTTCACCCCCTGCTGTGTCTTGAACTCTGATCTGCTTGGTATGGTAATAATCCTCTCGGGACAAATTAAAAAAGCATTCAATTTAGTTCTCATCTGACTGGAGATTCCTGTTGGGTTTGGAGAGAACAAAATCCATCTAAACTACAGTACCTTTATTAAACAAAATGGCTGGAATACTAGTGCCTGATTTTTCCAGCTGCACTTGTCTGTAGGCTTTGTCAAACCATAATGTGATTGAATACCCACTATGTTGGGCGTTAGGACTTGTCTCTGTGTCGCCTTAAGGTAACAATTTAACTACTAATAGTAATCTACCTACTTAAGCCATGGTTGTGGAGCTTCCAGTAACTAATAGGGAAGCTGTAGGTTTTATCCAAAACACAGCAAGTGATTCCTATTTCTTTTTAACTTCGTAGGTGCTGGAGCTGATAATGACCTTTACATAAACCAAGCTGTAGTATTTATTGAAGATGCAATACAGGTAAATGTAACTTCTTTGGTAGCTATTATGTTTCCCATGCTGGGTGTTTCTCACACATTCTGCCACTTTTAAAGTTTTTCTGTGTTCAGGAAGCCTCTGTGTAACATCATCTTGATTCACAAAGCAAAATCAGGATTCCAAATTCCTGTGGTACTTGAGTATCTGTGAACTTCTGCCCAGGAGAAACATTTTTTCCACACAGTGAAATAATCTTCTCTTTAAGGTTTTCAAAAGAGATGCTAGTTTGTGGGGTGGTTTTCATGGTGGTTTTCTTGTTTGTTTGTTTGTTTGGGTTGGTTTGTTTGTGGTTGTTCCCAGAGTGACTAACCTACTACTAAGAGAAATTGAGCAAACCCTGTGTAATTTGCCTCTCAATCTGACTACTTGAACAGTTTAAGAGCTGGTAAAAGCTGAAGAGTTTAAGGCTGACTTCAAGTGAAAAGCCTCTTTTGCTTCAGCTGAAATTGATACCATTGCAAGTCTTCATTCCCTCCTTGTCCCTCCTTTACTGGCCTTTACTGCAGGTTCTTGGATCTGTTATCTCCCAGTGAGTCGTTTCAGGCAGTGGGAATGCTGGAGGGCACTTCTTGAGCTCTCTTGCTGCATTCAGATAGCTTTTGGTTAGGAGATTTCTGGGGATCAGATGCACTGAAGCTGTGCCCACCTTTCTAGAAGTAGATACTTCTCAATGGAGGAAAAGTAAGAGCAGCCCAGGAGCCACTGCAGAGAAGGAACTGAGCAGATTTTGGCAAAAGCAGGCCTGTTCTGAGGGATGATGGGGATTTTCTTGACCTCAAAGCATGTTTTATTCAAAGACACAGGTTGAGGTCTCTTATATTCAGGATTAATTTGCTTGCATCTTATGGCTTGTTGGAAAAGAAAGACAAAAGAAGGTACACGAGTGGAATGAATGCTGGAAAGGTGAATTAAGTGGGTAGATCATTTTGGCAAGTACATAGAATAATCACTGATTTCTTACAGGTGCTGTTATTTGTGATGATGGCAGTGCTTTCTTCAGGTGGCTGCCCCACACTTTGATTACCTGAGCAGCTCTGTGGTCTTTAGATAGGAGAATTTCTTTAAAATCTTTCCCCTTTTCACACATGTAGACTACACCTATGGTCATGGGTGACTGATATTTAATAATGAATAACTTGTACTTAATTTGGTTTACTTTGGTAACTTGATCTTTGCCTTTGAGACAGACTGAATGTAACATTTGAATTATCCTTTTTGCTTCCTGCTTTCAGTATCGATCCATAAATCACCGTGTGGACTCCAGATCCCTGTGGCTTTATCGATGGTACTATTCAAGGACCTGCCAGTGGTAAGAACTTGGCTATTCCTTTGGCTTTTTTCGTTTAGGAGTAAGTGTTTCTAAAAAAAATTACTCTTGTTAAATAATTAGATGACTGTGCATTTACCCTTACAAGAACTTACTGTGGGAAGCAAGAGGATGTGAAACATGACAGAAGTGCAGAGCAGCCAGTTATATGAAAGTGTGATCATGTAGATGGCTCTCTGGAACAGCTGTAGGACTGCTGCATGAATGGACTGTGAGCTTGATTTACAGCACTGTGTGTTAAGAGTTTTCAAAAGTGCCAATTTCTAAACATTCCAAATAACAGTGAGATTGTTTGCAGCTGCTAGGCCCAAAAGAACACCACCTGAGGTTATTTGCTGGTCAGCAGTTACATCACTAATACAGGCAACAACCTGCCAGTCAGGTGCTGCCTTCTGGTCCAACCCATTTGTGTTAAATATGGTATTGTAAAGCTTGGTTTACTTCTAAGGAGAGTGCTTTGCTCTTAGGCATTTTGTGGGGCTTTTTGGGGGGTTTGTTTGTTGTTTTGTTGTTTGGTTGGGGTTTTTTTGTTTGTTTTTTTAATTTTATCTCTCTCCCAACAGGATTTTGAGTTTAACCATCACTGTGATCCTGGCTTTGGCTTTCGTTGAAGAGCCTTCTTCGCTCACTGTCACGTCGGACGTGCGGTACCGCCTTCCCCCTTGGAATCCTCCCTGTGGCCTGACAGAGAGCTTGGAGCTGCTCTGCTTCCTGGTGTTTGTGGCTGATGTGTCCGTGAAGGTGAGCACTGGATGAAAGAAGTTGGTGTGTTGGGCAGCTCGGTGTCCTTTTTATCCACCTTTATTTAGTTCTTGTAGGGGAAAAAAAAAAATAAATCTTTGAGCAATGTATTATGTTTGGATATTGGAAAGCTCTTAATGAGCACTGATTTAAAATTACAAATGCCTGGGAAACAATTGGTGTATATTAAGATATATACTCCAATATTATGGTTTTGGAATTCATTGTTAAATTAAGTGTTTGGTTGCTTTTTTGTTGTTTGGGTTTTTTTTCTTTTCTTGTCCAGAGTTACTTAATTGGATGGAAAGAATTTTGGAAAAACAAATGGCTAATGGCTTATATACTGACATTAACTGTCTCCCTGATGGATTGGATTGTCTCGCTGAGTTTTTCCTGCAGGGAGGTAAGAACTGATTCCTGCAGAAACAATCAGAATCTGGATTGTGGAAAGTGGCAGTGGAGAAGAACCTGCAAAGGGATGGTCAGCAGGGTGAACACAGTGGGTTGGAGAATTAAGAGAGGAGGGGGAGATGGTTCATTTTTGGTCTCTTAATAACTGGATAACAGAGTGAAACACAGAAAAAGTTAGTGGTGATGTTGCCTTGGAAAGGATTATGTTTGATTCTTAATGTGTGTGTTCACTGGTAAAATTAAATAAAACTTTGCTGCTCTGGTCTGTCAATAGGCAGAGAGTTTAAAGTACACTCACTGCACAGCAGCAATTTTGTCACGCAGTTGAAGAATTGTGTTCTTAACCTGATTCAACAGCAGAGTCTATGCAGTGATGTGTAAGTAAAAGGTAATTGTGTAGTTTAACAGCTGCTTTCTGAGCTGAAGCTGTGCTGTGCTCAAAACAATCATGTTCTGAGGGCAATGTCAGCTTTGTGAAATGGCTCTAGAAGTGCCCTCCTTTATGTAATAATGCAATCTACCAATTGCTTTTCTCTGCTGTGGATTTTCATTAAATTGATTGTTGTGCACTTGCAATCATTGTTGAGAAAATACTAAGATGGTAAAAGTCCTGGGAAGTGAATGAGGGAGAAATCTTGAACTTTGCTCCTTGTCTAAGTTCTCATGTCAAAACCAGTATGTGTTGTCTTCAGATAACTTCCAAACCTGTGTTAAGATACTGTCAGTGTTGGTCAGGATGAGGTTGGATGCAGGTGCTGCTATGGGTGGCACACTGTTTAGCTGTTCATGCTGTTCATTCTCTGACCACTGGTCACTGCTGACCTGGATGTGATGGAGCATCAGAGACACATGATCTTAAAATGGTGAACAAAAATGTTATTTAAGCTTATAAGCATCTAACTGTGAGAAAAGCTTGTCCTTTCTGTGTTCAAGCCAAATAAATACAATGCAGCTGAAAGAAGTTAATCACCTAGGAGGAAAATTGGGCTTACAACACGGGGAGGTGACTGCAGAATCTTCAGGTGTGATAAGGGATGAGTAGTTTGAACAGGAGCCTCCCACACAAAGCAGTGGCAGAAGGAGTAGTTGAACTGCTGGGATGTGTGAACAAAGGGATAGCAATGAGGAAAGGGGTGTTGTGGTGTTGTTTTTTTGGGTGTTAAGTGTGGCCCAGAGAAGACTGATCCTAAAATCCGGGATTCTGAAACACCTGAAGCAGCTGATAAGTCACAGAAATAACTTGAAGGCTGGCAAGTGTCTTGAAGGCAAGAAACAGATTACTTACTGTAGTGTTGTGGGGGGGAAAAAAAATGCAATTACAATATGGGTCTTGTCAGAGGCAGGAATTGCTGAGTAATAAGCAGGCCCCTTAATTATAAAACAAAAAAGAAGTCAGTCTGAAAATTGAAATCAGGCGCTTATTTTTAGCATGTGTATTTGTTTTTATTGAAAGTAGCTCACTATTAATTCCTTTCTTGAGATAGACCTTGGCAGAAAATACAAAAATGCCACCTCTTGCCACCTTGTTATGTCTAGTGAGCAGTGAAGTTAGATTGCTTCTAATTAGTAGCCTGATGAGGCTGTTGAAATGTCAATGCGTGGTTTTTCAAGCAATCTCTCCTCATTTTAACAAGGCACCTGAAGTATGAAATCTCTCTTGCCTGTTTGGTGAGCTCAGTGGGGGCAGAGTTACCACCTGAGCACAGCCGTCTTCTATTGCACTGTTGACTTTGCTGATATTTGAATCCGTGCATTTTTGGCAAACTTGCCTGCCAAGTGTTTGTGCCACCAGTCTTGTGGGAACTCAGTGTCTGATCTGTTGGTTTTTGCAGAGTTTGAGAATAAGAAGAATTCTTCGCCCGTTCTTTCTCCTTCAGAACTCTTCCATGATGAAGAAAACGTTAAAAAGTATCAACAGCACATTGCCTGAAATGGCAAGGTAGGTAATAGTGTAGAAAACATCCTCTCACAGCGAGCAGGGAGTTACCCTTTGTGTTCTGCTGTGTGGAATACCAGTGGCTTCACCCTTAAGTTCTTGGTGAGATCAGGTAGCAATGGATGGAGGCTGTATTAAGTTTTTGATTCCTTTTAGTCTGTAAAATATCTCTAGAAAGCACATGATGTGCCTCTGTGTGTGACAGATAAGGTTTTTGATGCTGATTCAGTGGGGTTTTTTGATTCTGCCTCTGTAAGGGAAGAGCTGAGTGAAGGTCTGTGCTGTGTTTTCTCCAAGGTAACCTCTCAGAAATATGGGTAGACACACATGTACTTGTCTTCTAGTCATGAGGGCTACACAGAAAGATACCTCTTTCTTTACATCTTCAGATAGATCTGTCTTCAGAATGCTTTTCTTCAGCTTTTTCCCTTCTAAATGGCTTTAGCAATATATATATATAGATATATATAGATATAAGCTTTGTAACCAGACAACATGATGCATTTTGGTAGAGATCTCTTCCTGTGAAATGGGTCATGTATGTGTAGAGTTTATGGAACTCACTGCCCTTGCCTGTTAATTTTTAACTACCAAGTCCCAGGAGAATCAAAGGGGTGTGTGCAAGCCAAGGTGTTGTATTGTGATTGGAGGGTATAAATATGGTCCTGACTTTAAAAAACAGAAGTGTTAGAATCTCACTGACATCACAAAAAGTCTGAGCTTGTGCTGAGCAGTCTCCACAAGTGTGATTTTTGTTTTTTGGTTAAAACTTGGATCATGTTTTGTTATTTCCATATAACTTATTTAAAAAACAAACAAACCAACCTAGTTTTCTTTATATGTCATCCTTTTGCATTTTTAGCAAAGGATGTTATTAAGGATAAGATAAACTTGCCATAAATACATATGGTCTCTTTCCAACAGTGTTGTTCTGCTGCTGGCTGTTCACCTGTCTCTCTTCACCATGTTTGCCATGTTGCTGTTTGCTCGAACAAAGGTAATCGCTTCTATTCCTGCTTGGGTGGATCTTCCTTCTGCATTTTTCCGGTTTGATCCTTAGAGTTGCTTTCTCTGCTTTTGTTGAAACCCTTTATGCTGTTCTGCATCCAAATCTCTTTATCACTTTTTCCATTTATGTTATCATTAATCTCTTTTTTGTTTGTTTGTTTTTCTCTTCCTTATCTAGCTGTTTGCTAATTTTCCTTCCTTGTTTTCTCACCTTCCAGTACTGGTATCCCTGGCCATGCCATGGTAGGTTTTCACCTGCTTTACTCTGATGGTTTGGTTTCTCATCTCTGGGTTTTCCTCTCATTTCTTCCTTCCTGCTTCTGAAAAGCAAATTTGAAATGTTGCTGTGGTTAGAATAATGTTGTGTTCCAGTGCTCTTGGTATGTTCCCTCTCTCTTAAATTTCCTGTATCTTAATGTATTCTGGTTGGATATTTTGGGTGGTTTTTTTGTTCTTACGTTTTAAGGCCTTCCATAAATGAGTTACTGTGAGCACAGAAATTTCTTGCCTACTTCTCTCAGTGATTATAGTCCTCTCCTTAACCTCAGTTTTGTACCTTCATTCCTGCTGCAGTTTGCACTTGAGCCTGCCTCTGGCCTTCCTTGTGGTCAGCAAATTCTTTGAATTCCCGATTTATGGAATTTCTGAAATCAGAAGCAGAGCTCTGTTTTCCTGCTTTAAGTTGCATTCTGGATCTTTGTATTATCTCTGTGTGTCACATTTAATTTCAGTTATGAGCCTTCCCAGCATATGGGAATATACTTTGTATACCTAAACCAGTCAGTTTTGAGTACATTTAAGCGAAAAACAAAAAATTAGAGAGTGGACTTTCCTATTTTGATGTGCTACTCCAACATCCCCACAAACTAATTTCATCTGACAAGGTGAAAGCCAAGTTCTAAAAATACGTTTATTCATGAAACTTATGCTTCTCTCTACATTTTTGCATTGTCTTGTGTCTGTCCTCTAGAGGTGCATTTCCCGGTCTTTGCAGCAGATTCAAGGGCTGTTTGTTCCGTGCTGCATCATTCATGTTTGTGTTGTTTGCACTCTGCAGCTTTTTTTATCTGTCTCTGCTTGACCTTGTGGGGGGTGGAGGAAATGTGTGGATCACCCAAGATTATCCTCCCAGTGTGTTTTTGATGAAGATTTTGACACTGGGCTTTAGCAGATCATCTGATGTTTCCCCTGAGCCACAAGATAAGCTCTGTATGATGTTTTCATTGGTATTGAACATAGCATTTTAAATCTTCTCTTTTTTTTCTGAACAGTTGCCTGTTTTCTGCTTGCCCAGCAATTCCTGTGCTGTGCATGAATTACTGCCTAAGGGGGTAGCAAGAAGAAGGGGAAAACCCTTGTTTTGCATAGTGGTAGTAATTTTTGTACAAAAAAACCTGCTGCAGAGGATTTTAAGTTACCTATTTGGAAGTCAGAGGGGAAGTGAAAGACACTAGGTTGGGTGTGCTGGTAGAGCTGCAGGTGTGGGGTTTTTATATATATTATTTTTTGAAATCATATTTAGGGAGTCCTTTTATCTGCAATATAATCTCTTGCTGGCTAAGAGATGATGCTTCCTATATCAGTCAAGGGTCGTTTCAGATTCCCGTGCTGTCAGTTTGTGACTTAACTTCTGTACTGAGCTTCCTGTTCTTCCTGGTGTTTTTTAATTGCTGTTAATAAGTGAAGTGATTGCTCTGTGTTCCTATGTAATATCTTCATTTTGATGCTTGATTTGTGCTTTGTTTTTTGTTTTTTTTCACTGGGTAGATGTGATTACGTGTGTAAGAAATAGTTTATTGACTGACTTTAATCCCTTTTTCCCCCCTCTTTTGGTAAGACAGTGTTTCTTCAGTCTTTCTCTTAACCATAATCATCTCTTTGACCAGGATAACCAGCAGGATAAGGAGTGGGTGGTGTATTTCCGGAATCTGCCGGATTCACTGACATCCCTGCTGGTCCTGCTGACTACTGCAAATAATCCTGATGGTGAGCAGGCTTTCAGAAACAGCTCTTGTCTCTCCTTTCAAAGAACAATAGAGTTAAGGTTACCTGCAGACCACTGTAACCGTTCTTTCAGCTGGTAGCTATTAGTGCAACCACGGGAAGGTTGGGAAAAGGTTTCCCATGCCTTTAGTAACTTGATTCTTCTCTTTTCTTTGGGGTAATTATATATTGCCACTCTAAAATGCAACCGTATAAGAGCTTTTAGCGATTGCCAAAAATTGATTGAGGTCTCCGCTGGGCATCTTAAGCATTAAAATGTTATTTCTTTTTTTTTTTTTTTTGTTAAATCTCACGCAGTGATGATTCCTGCATATTCCAAGAATCGAGCGTATTCCATCTTCTTCATCCTCTTCACTGTGCTAGGTAAGTTACCTCTTGTCTTCAGTCGTGTAAATGCACTTGGACACCTGTGCATAACAGCTACAGGAGTTTATTTTTCTAGGGAAGTTTAATCATAAATTTCTCCTTTTTTTGTGTTTCTTCCAATTATTGTTCAGTGTCTCTAAGGTAACTTCCACTTATGGCTCGGAGTTTTTGGTAACACGTTACAGGCCGTGAAAACATTTTGGAAACCAAACACGAGAAAACAAATCCTTTTTAAATGATATATTTTTATTTGCTACATGGATTGAAACTTTTTTGATGAGTAGGATGGGTATTTCAGTGATTCTCACTGCCTCTTTTTCTCCAACAGGCAACTTGTTTCTGATGAACTTGCTCACAGCAATAATATACAACCAGTTTCGAGGATACCTCCTGGTGAGTAAAGCATTTCTAATTTCTGTGCCCTGCCATAGCCTTGAACCTGTGAAATATTAATTGTGATCTGGGCATTAAAGCAGGAGGCCCGTTCTGGTTGGAAGTTTTAAGATGCTAAATGTTCTTTGATGGAGATGCTTTTCCCATTAGACGCTGTTGTAGCTTGATCCCCTTCCGTGACAAAATTACTTGCTCTCTCCTCTTGATGCAGCCCAGGATTCTCATGCCTGTAGTTTCCTTGAGGTTTAGTGTCAGGAGAAACTTGGTGACTTAAAGTGTGGGGTTTTTTTTTTCCCCCCTTATTTACTTATCTTCTTACAGTTCCTTCATTACTAGCTTCCCCTTTCCTTATATTTATATATATATATCTTATAGTTCTTTCTCCTTACTTACATAGTTTGATAGTCCCTTCAGAGGCTTCAAAGTGAAGTTATAGCTGCCTGCTCTAGTAGGTTGTTGGCTAGTGAACCTTAAGCAATGTTACACAGAAGGAATGGCCCCCACCCTCTTGAGGGAGAGGAGTGTTTGAGCCTAATATGTGCAAAGAGGATTTTTGATAATCCTCTCCTCTTCCTCCTCTGTTTCTTCCCTTCTTTCTCGATTTTTTTCACTTTCTCACATGAGGGCATGACATAACTTGACTCCCAGCAAAGCAACTGAGTTTGAAAGTGGTTATTGTGGAGAAGAAAAAAAGGGGGGGGGGCATGAAAAACTGTGGCTCTGGATTTGTGCCTCCAGGCAAGAAGCTGGAGCCGGACAAGCTGTCTCACTCCTCTCTCTGCACAGTAGTGTGAATTTCTGTGAATCCTTGAGCTTTGCCAGTGCCTCTGGAACAGGCATATGCCTTTGCAGTCCAGAATTGAAAACAAATCATGACCTGGATGTTTACTTGGATTCCAGACTTGTTTGCTTGCTTCCTTCCTTCTTCCTTGTACACAGAGTTCTTGGAGGGAGTGAGGCTTAGGGCAGTCCCCTGTTCTGACCTCTAATCACAGATCCAGGAGGTGTGCCAGAGGATCAGTATATTCTGTGGCCATAGGACATGGCAGTGCATGAAGTGTGAATAAATTGTTTTCTCTGTGGTGTTTTCACTGTTCAGAAATCAGTTCAGTCCTCCCTCTTCAGGAGACGGCTGGGAATCCGGGCTGCCTTCGAAGTGCTTTCTACCCTGAAAGAGACTCCTGCCAGTGCCCAACAGTAAGTGAGGAATGTTGAAACAGCAGATTATCTAGCCAAAAAAAGTACATTTTTGGTCATCTTGTTTTGTTTAATTTACTGAGGTTGCACTCCTGAAAAATGGCAGTTTGTCACTCATCTCATTTATTTATTTTTAATTTAACTGAATGTTCATAACACAATTTTTGAGGCTTTGTTTCCTTTTTATTTCTACTTCTATTTTTACCTGTTTTGCAAAAAAAGAAAGGCAGGAATGCATTTGGAACAGCTTTTTTTTTTTTTTTTTTTTTCCCATCTATACAGTTATCTGTACCAGGGCCCATTCTGTGTTCTTTTAAATAGGTCCTATGTCAGCACTGGGGCCTTACAACAAGTGCTGCAGAAAGTTGAGATGGATTCTCGCTGCAAACAAGCCATCCTGAGAGTAAGAACTGAATTTGCTTTTAGCCCTGGTGTTGGTGACTGTCAAACCCTCTGATGTGACAGCTGTGGAAACTGAAATTTCCCTAATTATGCAATTAGGAATAGCAGCTTTCAGCTCAGCTCCTTTATGCTGCTTTCTCCAAGTGTGAACAGAAGCCCAACTCCAGTTGTCTGTTTATGTTTTGGTCTTCAGAATAAAAACAGTCCTTGGACAAGGATTTCGCCCTAAAGTTGCTCCTTCTTTGGTTGATGTGATGAGGGATGCATTCACCTGGAGAGAGGAATGAAAACTCCTATTTTACAGAGCTACTTTTTCCACTGGCTTTACTTTTTCTCCCTGGAGAAAGTAAAGCCATTTCACATTGTGGCCTAGAGCTGCTCCCTGTTGCAGCATTCCTTGGATCATAACATAATAATGGCACTTCTACAAGACAAAAAAATTTAAGTTTGTCCAAAATGCATGTGGTTCCAGAGAGGGGAAAACAGAAAAGGCAAGACAGATCTGTGTTGTGTTAAAGCAAAGCAGTATTGAACCTTACTCTTAATAACTTGGAATAGCTTGCTTAAGATCTCTATTCCCAGTCTTTTAAAGGTTGTCTGAGGGTTTTGGCACTTTTTGCAGATGCACCTATTGCAGATTCTGATCTGAATGTCTCTCTTTCATGTGAAGTCGCTCAAAATGTGCTCCTGTGACCAACTGTCAGCTGCCCAGTTCCAGAAGCTCTTTGAAGAACTAGACAAAGATGCCATTAAGCAAGTATGTATCTGACCACTGTTTGTAAGACATCAGAAGTTGTCTGGTCTTGTGCAAAAAATTAGTGATGTTGCTCCTCTGTAAAGCGCATAAACAAACTTTGCAACATGTGAACACAAGGTGCAGTCATATGGTGTTGGTTCTGAAGTTGTTTGTAACCAAGACCTCTGAATTAAACATTGGGAAATGGGGAAGGAATGCGTCCAATGAGTACTTTGGTGTTTAGTTTACCTGCTTAGGGCATTGAAGAGGGGTTGGACTATCTCCCTTCTCAGCCATTACTTTCTGTTGTGCCATAATCAGAAATGAACTCTTGCTGTGAATTAGCCACAGCTTGAAAACATTTTCCAGCTGAAATGTCAAAATTAGCCTGTGGTCCTGAAGTTTTGCTTTGAAAGTGTCTGGCTTCTTTTAAAATCTGAGATTGGGTGTGGGGTTTTGTTATTTTATTACTATTGAAATGCTCATGCTTTGATTCTCAGCAAATCCTTTGTGTTCGTTTCAGCATCCTCCCAGTCCAGAGTACCAGTCTCATTTTATGCAGAAATTGCAGTTTGCCTTTGGCCATCCCTACTTTGGTTACTTGGGGAATGTGGTAGCCCTTGCAAACATTATTTCTATCTGTGTAAGTAAAAGGGTTTTTTTGTTGTGGGGTGGTGGGGGGTTTTTTGGCCTGGTTTTTTTGTTGTTCCTGTTTTGTTTTGCTCTGCTACAAACCTAAGTTCTTTTTTGTAGCAGATGGCAGGTCTTTGGCATACTTTAGTCATGTAAAGGCATAAGTTGAGAGGGAACACCTGCTGTTAAAAATATATTCTCAGCTGCTTGAAAAAGGTCTGTGCAAAGCATGAAAGTCTGTTCTTGTGCTTAAAAGTCCATTTTTTGTAGCAGTGAAGTGGTGGATTCATAAAATATTTCTTGTTTAAGGTGGTTTTGGTGATGGATGCAGATAAACAGCCTTCTGAAAGAGATGACTTCTTCCTGGGGGTAAGATGCAGCAGTGTTCCTACAGTTCTTGCTGTTCCTGAGATGTCAGTAATTCTAATGATTGCTTTTATTTTGGGGGGGGTGAAGGCCATCAACTGCTTCTTCATCCTGTACTATCTACTGGAAATGTTGCTGAAAATCTTAGCAATGGGCTTGAGAAGATACCTGTCTTACCCAAGCAATAGATTTGATGGACTTCTGACTGTAATTTTGCTGGTAAGTGTTTTATCAACTTCTGTGCTCTTGGATTTGTTGGCTGGGGAGGTTGGGAACTACAAGAGCTGGTGGGATTGCTTTTTCTTCTACACTGACAGGCTGAGCTTAACAATATGAGCAGCCAGTGTTGTGGTTTTCAGCAGCTTGAAAGTTTTGGTGGTGCATGGTTCCTTTAGGGTCTGATTTCTGAAGGTAGGCTTATTTAAATCCATGGGAAAAGCGAGTTTTCTTATGAGAAGTCTTTTTATTGCTATTTGGAAACATTCAGCCCTTGAAATAACTGCATAAGGAGTTCTGTTCTGCAGCTAAGGTCACCTTGTTCTTTCAGTAAAAAGGCAGGTTATTGTGATAACTATTTGGTAAAAGCCTGAAGCCTATGTGGCAGATGAAGCCAAATTCATGGTTAATGGTGCTCATTGCATATCCTTGTTTGTGTCACTATTGAATGGCCTATGTACACTGAAATAATTTGGGGAATAACTGGGCAAATATGACAATTCAGATCTTTAAAGTGAGTTAAATTACCAGCTTAATGCTCTTAAAAATGTTTCCTGTCAAGAAGCTTACAGAATTTCTGAAACTCAGAATTACAAAGTAAAGTTTTGACTTTTTTTTTTTTTTTCTCTCTTTCTTTCCTAACTAAAGATTTTGGAGATTTCAACTTTTGCTGTGTATGGATTTCCTCATCCTGGCTGGTAGGTGACCTCTGTGAACTGCTGCACTTTGCTCAGTGACTGGGCTGGGTCCATGCTGTAAAATTTAGTAGAGAAATGCCCATGGACTTAAACTATTTGTCTATACTGGAATACCAAGCAGTTGTATTTTGATTTTATTTAAGTTCAAACAGCTTTTAGATAACTCTCTTGAGCTTTTTTTGTTACAAAAAAACATCTTAAACACTGCTATCTGCAGAGACCTGGTAGATCTTATGGTTTGAAAAGGGTTTATATTGGAACACTACTAAAAACAACACTACAAAAAAAAAGTGATGGTTGGCAGAATAGTAATTACTACAGTCTAATGGCATTAATTATTCTCTTAGAATTGATTATGTTTGGGCTTGATTTTGCCCTTTTGATTCTTAAATGCAGATGATTGTTTGCTGTACATTTTGGAGCACCAGTGACACTTGTTAGGTCTTTGTGTCAGTCACAGCAAACAGATTATAACACAGAGGAGTCACTGGTGAGTGTGTGCTGTTGGTAATTGTGTGCAGATATAACACCTTCAGGACAGTGATGTGACTATTATCTGAAATATGTCTTCTGTGCAATGCTGTCTTAAATAATTTCTTTCACAAACCTGCACTCTAAAGGGCACTCTCTGCATATTTAAGAGCCCAGGCTAAATGGGTCGCTTCCTGCAACAGTTAAGGGTGAGATTCCTGCTAAGCAAATGAATGTACTTACAATTACATGTAACCCAGTAGGTTAAACTGTGTCCTTCTGTCATGAGCTGTTCCTGTGATTGGTTGTCTTCTCCCATCTTTCCTAGGAGACCTGAGTTCATGGGCTTATTATCCCTGTGGGATATGGTGCGATTGGTGAACATGCTGATCGTGTTCCGCTTTCTGCGGATCATCCCCAACATGAAGGTGATTGCTTATTCCCTCCACAACTCTTGATTTCTTTGTTGGTCACGTTATAAACTTTGTTCCAGCCTTTCAGAATAACATACAGATGGCAATCCTTCTGCCCATGAGTGGGGTTATAGCTCAGCTCTGACTGTCCTGACTGTTGCACAGTGCCTCACAATCTCACTGTCTCTGGGGCTGGTTTTCTCTGCTGAGGCAGCAGACAAGTTCTGTTGATGTGATGGGAGTTGATCCTGGTATTCCAAGGTAGGCAAACTTACCCAGAAAGTTTTCTTGTGTGGTGCTTCAGTCTTAATTAGGATGAGTGGCTGGGATATCCTAGAAGAACTTTCTACTCAGGAAGGGTTAGAATTGCTTTCACCAGATACTGCAAGACATTTGGTAAGGCAAAGGGTTTTATGGGACAAAGCCCTTTCCACTTTGCCAGCATGGGTATTTCCACCACAGTGCACGTACTTGAACCAGAAATCCCTTTGATTGTTTGTTATAATCCTGCATTTACTTGCTTAAAAGCTAAGCCCAAATTAATGTCAGGTGCAGGATTTATATCTTACTTCAGTAAGCCATAAATACCTACCTGATGTAGTCAAAGGTCATGGTGTCAGTGGAAAGTGTAAAATAGGAATTATGGGGGTCAAATATGAAGCAGTTACCTTGGAGCTGTGGGTGCTTTTGCTTTGCTTGCCTCTTATTCTTTCTAGTCTCACTAGACATACAGTCCTTTAGATTACAGTACCTGTGTATCTTGAAGACTTATGATGGTGTCTGTCTGTGAAAAAGACTCCTACAGCATTGTTCCTTCATCATGGAAATATCTCTGCATCAAAGATGTCCTGCCTTTAGACACAGTTCACTTTCCCCCTTGGTATTTCTTTGTCCTCTTGGTAAAAATAATTTGATACGGAACGGAAGTGGGATGAATGTCATACATAGAGAATTCTGCTTTGTTTCAGTTCATGGCTTTGGTTGTCACTACGTTGCTGGATCTGGTAAAAAACTTAAGAGCCTTTGCAGGAATCCTTGTGGTAAGTCATGATGCAAGACTGTCATTTGCTTTGTTACAGTTAGCAGTCTAATAAGGATACATCTCCAGCAAAGTAAACAAGTTTATTGTGCCACAATCAGTAACGTTTCACCTTAATCAGCCAGTTCCTCTCCAGGGCAAACTGCTATTTTGTTGTGGCCTGTGCACAGTGACAGTGCCTCTTTTATCAGGAGGACCTTTAAAAGAGGGACTGAATCTTCCTCAGAGTGCTTGCCTCAGGCTGGATACTCTGGCTTCAAGTAAAAATTCATCCATGCTAAAAGTAGACCAATTTTCCTTACCTTGATTTGCTTATTAATACTTGCTTATTAAATGGCAGTACCACTTGAAAATTGTTTCTCAGCTCGAGAAGGTCTTGAGACGGCATGTTTGGACATGACTTTTAAAAGCCTCCTGCCACCCTGTTTTGGGTGTGCCTGTGTGGAGCATGTGCTGTGCAACCGTGTGATTAAAGGGTGGGTCACAATGCGTGATGTCCATTACATAAATCCTCCCAACTCTGGAGTTTCTGGCTTTACCACAACGTCTTCCTGGCAGAGCAAAGAAGTGCCTGGGTAGGTTTTGGTTAGTTGTTGTTCATGGGTTTTTTAGGATACCTTATTTTGAGGTGGCGGTTAGAGGCCAGTGATTTGTTGTTCTAGTTTATCCATTTAGCGTGCAATTTAACCAGAATGTCTGGGTTTTTTCATTAATAATCCCTACTTTTATCTGTAGAGAAGGGGCCTTGGGTTGGTGTGTGTTGCAGCTTGAAATAAAGATGTTGGCTGGGGCAAAGCAAATCTGGTGACAACTTTGCTGTGCTGTACAAGTCACACTTGCCACTGGGAACTGCTCTTGGAACTGAGAAGTATTTTCCTTCATTCCTGAAAGAAGTGGTGGGAGCCTGTAGTAATAGGCTTTATTTTTATTTTCATGAAATGTGCATTGGTGTTTCAGTGCAGTGCCTCTGTCCGTGTATGTGAGACGTGATTCTCATAAAGTGCCAGCTGCTTTGATTGTCCCTCATGTCAGGAGTGTGAATTGTAGTTCTGCACCGATTGTGAGGCAAGTCTGCCCCAGGGTTTGCCACTTCCATTAGTTTAATTTGCTTTTACCCTGGGGCTGTGTGGAAGCTGCCACTGAGCTTCTGCTCTACTGACATCCGACTCCACTGAGCCAGCTGATAGAAAATATCTTTCCTAAAGTTAGGCTGGAACACAGGCTGATAACATAATGCAACTAATTAGTTAATTTCTCGTGCAGTGAGTGTTTGAAATATATGGGATTTTTTTTCAAAGAATAAAGTTATTTTTATTGCCTGGCCAGATGCCCCATCTTCTGGCAGGCTGTGAAATGTCAGCTTCAACTTGCTCCCAGTGATGTTCAAAGTGCTGTCGGTTCAAGCTTTCCTGGGACAAATGGCTCTTTCTCGAGAGGAGGGAAGCTGTAGGTTATTTCTAGAATAATCTTTTGAGGAATAAAAATTGCAAAATCACCCGGGTGACTGCTAAAGACTGAAAGGTGTCTCTTTAACAGAAAGTTTGCATTTCCAACAGGTAAAAGACAGAAGTTCCAAAACCCTTTGTGTTACTGAGAACTTTATTTTGAGACTAATTGTAACATTTTTAAGCAAAGTTGCTGGTGTAATATAAAATACTGACTTAGTTTTGTCCTTCAGTTAAGTGTAATGAAAGCTTATTTTCACTGAATCTAGAAGAAAATGCCCTAAATAAAAATATTTAGGTTGTTCTTTGTAAATACTGTCAATGTGTTTTGGTTTAAGTTGCTCTTCTCCAATATTAACAATTAAATATGAGCATTCTGAGACACAGAAAAATAAGATAGATCCAAAAGTAAAATAGATCATAAAATAAAAGGATTTAACGCATTTTAACAACTGAAAGTTAAACAGAATATTAAAAAGTAAGAACAAACAGTTAAGCTGGGGAGTGTTTTCACTCGAAAGCTTCAGGCATTGTTCTTGACGTAATTCCTTTACCTGTGGTACAAGTATAAATTCCACGTTAATTGCTTTGCTTTCTCATTTAGTGACAGAAATATCCAGAGCTAATAGTTGCTTGTATTCCTTCCAGGTGGTTTTCTATGCATTTGCTATAACTGGCATAATGCTATTTCAAGGTGCTGTCGTTCCCTTGGGAAATACCAGGTAAGGTTTTCGACATCACTGCTCACAAAGAATCCTGTCTCTCAAAAGTATCTGCAACTTGGTATATTTGAGCTGTTTGTGGTTGGTTTTGTTGAGGTTTTTTTCCCTCTTATTCTTGGAGCTACTCTTAATTTTAATGTTAAATCACAGGATTTATCTTCTATTTCGTCTTACTGCATTGAAGTTGCAGGAAGGCTCATCTGGTTTTGAACCATTTCCCTTGTTTTCCCGCCTTTTGAGACACTCGAACTTCCTGCAAGGCACTCGGAATAATTTTGGCTTTGAGGTGCAGTTTGCAGAAAGCTGTGCTCACATCAGCCTGTGATTCTCCCACAGTGCTGCCAACACCACCTTTGATAACAGCACCTTGCAGTGTGGGACCTACGAGCAGCTGGAATATTGGCCCAACAACTTCGATGACTTCGCTGTGAGTGTGATCAACGACTTAAATCCTCTCCTCGTTTTCTGAGCCTGAAGTAGCCTGAGAAATAACCACTCATCTTCTGTTCTGCTCACGTTGTTTAGGCAGCAGTGGTGACCCTCTGGGATGTGATGGTGGTGAACAACTGGCAGGTCTTTTTGGATGCCTTTTCAAGATATTCCAGTCCGTAAGTAGCATTAACTATACTTTAAAAATCCCCTATAAATCCAGCTAGTAAGGTAACCAAACAAGAATTATACACATAGCACGATCCCAGCTGCTAAGAGGGATGCTGCTTACCTGTCTTTTGGAAATTCAGGCTGTTGTGTGGGATAAATGTTTAACATGGTCTGGAGGAGACTGGACAAGTCATGAGAGAGAAATCCATTGGATCTGCAGTCAATGGAAGCTCCCTATGGTTCAAGAAATCTCTGAACTGCAAGCAACTGGAGACTGGGGGAGCACTTAGAGAGTGGCAACATAGATGTTTTGCCATGGTTTTGCAGTCTTTCCTATGTTTCTGCTTTTGACCATTCCAAGGATCCCAGACAGATATCGTACTGTGATTCAACCGAGCTGCTTTTCTGTCCCTCCAGAGTTCAATTAAGTGGGTTGAGTTGGGGGCAGTGAGCCTGTTTGATTTCATGAAGATTTTTCTATTTTTAATTTTTTTATTCCATATTTCCATTGACATTCAAAAAGGAGTAGTATTATATTTCAAGGAAAAATGTGATTTCATGGTGCTCTGCTCACTTTCAGGCTGAGGGTATTTACTGCCTCCTTTGCTTATTGTCTGTTAATCTGATCTGCAGGTGGGCAAAGGTCTATTTTGTAGCCTGGTGGTTGATCTCCTCTGTCATCTGGGTGAATCTCTTCGTAGCTTTACTTCTGGAGGTAAGGAAACGTGTGTGTTTGGTATTGGATCCCAAAGCTGGGTTCTAATTCGGGCAGGAAGTTAAAAGAACCCAGACAACTTTTTGGGAAAAGTATGTTGGGCTTGTGTATGTTCTTTCTTTACCTTTCTCCTCGCTGCCCTTCCCCTGAGGAGTTAAGGAAGCTGGTTTTTTCCTAGACAATTCTATGCTTTATTTGCCATTTTGTCACAGAGCTGGTTGCATCTCACTGGGCATGTACATTTTCATGATATCGCTCTCTGTAAAGAGGAAAAATATTATAAGCACTATAAAATTGCTTGTCTCTTGTACGTTCACATTTTACTTCAGCATTAGTTATTCAAGCTGCAGGCTTTTTGCATTTTAATTTATTTAATATGAAGTTAGCTCTTTGTAAATTTACCTGTAATTTGTTTGGCTCTCCTGTATTTCTTCCCACTCTGATTTGAGTTATTACCATTGTCCAGTTCCACACTAGAAAAATGGAACTGATGACTTCTTTCCAAGAGATTTTCTCGAGTTTTTCAAAGAAGCTGTGAAAATGCAGGTACCCAAGCAATGCCACGAGGAACATGTAGTTCTGCTAATTTCTTGTGTATGTTTTTCCTGCAAATCCAAATTTCTGATGGCAAAGGGAACACTGATCAGAACCATCTCCTCCAGTTTAGTAATTGTAGACTTCTCTTATAAGTGATGGAAGAAACTGAGTACCTGTAGAGGGCACTTCATCCCATCTCAAAACATCTAAAAGTTTCTTTATGATATGTTTTTGTTGTTGCTGATGGTATTGAGAATTTAAATTTACTATAGTAGGAAGAATGACAAACTTTCAGTCCAGGACATCTTCTATCTGCTTACTTCTGCAGGGCTGTGGCCAAAGTTTTTGCTGTAAGAGCCCAGATGCAGCATTCTGGAGCAGGAGAGCAGGATCTCACTATATTTCTCCCTTCTTTTTTTTTTTTTTTTTTGTTCCCCCCTGAGCTGTCTGGTCTGCTCCTCAGTTATTAATTTGCCAGTGTTATTCAAAATAGGGAAGGGAGAATGTTACAAAACCAGTAGCTGAGTTTTTAACCTGTGATGCCTGGACTAGCAGGATGGTCATGTATGGTTGGGTTTTTAAAGAGGAAGAAATTCAGAGCAGGTAAAAATCTGTGGTTAGTTCACATGATTGTCTTGGGGAGGCAGTCCTTGCTAGGAGCAGAAGGCAGCAGGGCCCTCTTCTGCTCTGCTGTTCTTCCGGTTTGTGATGGGAAAGTTATTTCTCTCCCGAACAACAGGGCTCGAATAAAGTAGCGACCCACAGCCAGTAAATGTGCTCTGGCACTGTGTTTAACAACAAAGCTCAGCCCCCTCCCAAACCTTACCTGCCAGACATAGTGACTAGATGTTTCTGATGTCATCAGAAGGAGTCCTTTTAATTTTTCCCCTGTTCCTTTTACATTTCAGAACTTTATTCACAAGTGGGACCGTCGCTGTCATCGAGAGTCTCTTTCGGATATTGAATACCAGAGGACAGTGGAATTAATGTTCAGGTGAGTTGGACTGGATTTGATAATCAATCTGGTTTTTTATGTTCTGTTTTAAAGGGAATGTGCTGCCTGCAAGAGAGCAAAGGTTTGTCTTCCGTTTCCTCCCTCTGAAGCAAACTGTTCTGCCTGTTAATTTGGAAAAAAAAATCAACAAGTGCTTTAGTTAGGCCTAGTTTAAGCTGACGTGGAAGCCTAACCTTTTATATGCTTTGTGCTCGTAGCAGGGTGGGAGAAGAGGTGCTGGGGGTGGTGGGAACAACTGCTGAGGGGGACGGAAACAAGGGAAAGAAGAAAAGGGAAGATGAGGAAAGCGATGCATGTTCTTGGCTTGTTATGAAATTGTGGGTGGTGAGTTGAGACTTGATGATCGTGCATAAGTGGAACTTCTGGTGCACGTTGGATATTCAATAGTAGCACTGGGAACGTGTTCTCATCTGGGAGTTTTTTTTCAGGAAAACAAATCTACTGACCTTCACTTGTGCTGTGCTGTGTGCAGGAAATTGCTTCCCTGCTTCTTGTGGGAAAACAGCTGCTGGTTTCCATGACACATCTGTAGAGGATGGATCACTTGCAAGTAGATGCATCTTTAGGGAACATCAACTTATTGTAATTTTAATTCCTCGTTTCATCCTCGAAACGAGCACACGTCACATCCTCAGTATGTGCACTGCTAAAACAAATGCTGAGAAGCTCCCTTTGCTGCCCCTAACAACTCATGCTTTTTCTTTGTAGAGATGTTTTGGAAGAACCTACAGAGGAGGAGTTGATGGAAAAGCTGCACCAGCACCCACACCTGCAGTTATGTAGGTGACTGGTGGGGAGGACTGATTTGTTTAGACCTCTGTTTTCTTGAGGTTGTCTGCTGGAAGATAACTGAATGGATTTTCTGTGAGATGCTGTTTAGGAAGAGGGGCTTGTAAGACAGCATGTGAGGTTTTGCTTGGCAATTCTCTGCAGAAAGTGTTTTTTATTATTTTTGGGTTCGTATCTTTTTTGCAAAAGGTTTGAACCTTGCTTTTTTGCAAAAGGTTTGAACCTTGCTAACTTGACTTGATTTTAAGTTGCAGTTTTAGAGGAGTCTTGCAGCCGTTATTTTTATAGACTGTTGATATCGGAATATGTTTTATTTTCTTTTTTAAGAGGGAACGTGTGTTTAAAATGACAGAGCACTTTAAAACATGAACTTTATAACCACTAAGCCTGCTACTTTCTTCAGCACAGGAAAATGGAACTGCCTTTTCTGGCAATGTGGCAAGGGCTATGCCCTGCAAGTCATGAATGGATTAGGCAGGACCGGAACAGAATCCTTAATCTTTTTGTAGTGAGAGTTGAAACACTATTTTTGCTGTAATGTGACACCAGCGTATGTCACTGGATTTTCAGGAGTTAATCACGTTGGAACACAATCTATTTCAGCTCAGGAACAGGGGCTGCCTGCTTGGCACATCCTCTGGTTTCCTTTGCTTTTGATCAAGAGTTGGTGCTGGTTGTGCCGTGCCAGTCACTGTGAGAGCAGCTCCAACTGCGACTGGAGCAATTGCACTCGTGGTTTTCCAGGTGGTAAAACTGAGCTCTTCTGGACTCAATATTCTCAGGCTGCTTTTTAGTGAACCTCTTCCTTTTACTTTGCTGTCTCACGTTCCATGAAAAAGCTGAACTTTGGCCGGAATGTTGCGCCATGATCGCTGCCAGTCTCCCACTTAAAAGGGAGGGAAGAAGAGGGAGGGAGGGGGGAAAAAAAGGTTGAATGGGATAATCAAAGTGCTCAGCAGTTCAAATTTTAGTTCAAGTCTGTGGGAATAGAAGGTGCTCAACCAGTATTGCAGGATCACAAGCTTTTATGGCTTAATGACCCCACGCTCTATATCGCTGATTTTCACCCAGGTAAAACTTTTTTGGGTAAGTATAATTTTGTCAACAAACCTGAAGTGGAGAATCCACGTCAGTGTGCTTTTCACTGTCCCTCAGTATTCCTCTGAAAAGGTGATTTTGTTTGAATCTTTGTCCAGTGAATTGCTATGAAGGTCAGAACGAATCCCAGCTGCTGTTTTTTAGATGTAAAAATGAAACTGCTCTTTGAGGTGCTGCCTTCTCACCTTGTCACCAAAACAGACGTTGTTGTGGTCACCCCTGCAGGTGACCCCAAGGGCTTGGGGAGGGTAATTTGCCATAAAACACTGCTACTGTTTATAAGTGATTTGATTCTTTTTTTAGAGAAACAGTTTTCAAAAGTGCCAAGCAATCGTCCTGTATACTTTTCTCCTTCTTTTTAACTCATTAGCCTTTCTTTCTGTCCTGCACGAGGGAGAGGAAACTATCCAGGATGGTGGTGCATTTTCACTCAGAAGCTTATTTTTGCCTTGTTGTCTCACTGTTCAGAAGTGGCTTAAATATTCTTATCTGTCTGTTTCTTTATCTTTTTGCTTGTATTTTTGTTTTTGCTGTGGAGTAAAATGTGTCGTAGCTTTTATATGTGTAGAACAAACCTGAACTGATTTCTGGGCTAATCCTGCAATCTTTCTTTGCTTTTGTAATCTTGCATCTTAAGCCAGGCCCTTGTCTGTGCTCAGTCTCTTGTCTCTCTTCCAGATTAAGCTCCCCAGGAACTCACTTGCACTGGTTCCAGTGGCATCACTGTGCTTATTTTCAGTCATGCACTTAAAAAACACTCATCATGGCAGGCTGATAAAGGCATCAGCACTGTTTTTTCTAGGTTTGAGTTTGCTCTCTTTTCCAGTATGGCTTTATTGTCAGGATGGTTTCTGCTCCTTCTGGCATGATGTATAATCACTTCCACCAGTTTATTGGCACTTATCGCACAGTGGTTAAATGGTTAATTTTACCTTTTTACTGAAAATAAAAAGTTATCTTTTTTTCCACTCTTCTGAATACTTGAAGTAGCTTTGCCTTGCCAAAAAAAGAAGTGTCCAGTTCTTACCAGTTTAATTAATTTTTTGGCCTCCTAAGCTTTTTGGGTTTGTTTTCTTTTTGTTTGCTTTTGGTTTGTGTTGTGTTTTTTTTTTGCCATTACATTCCACTACAATCTACCAAAGCAACACAAATCGGTGTAGGATTATCATAAACAAAACAACTGTCTCCATTATGCTTTCTTTGCATCTGGACAATGTGAAGAAGGCATTCTGAAGGGAGTAGTCTGTCTTATTCTTGTTTTCACATTGGTGTAATTGCCTGAAAGGGTGACTAGAATTTAATACAAAATTGTGCTACCTAATGTCACTTGAACTGGAAGATGTAAATGACCACATTATGCAATAACTGTATAAATCATGCAAATGACTGTACATAATCGGGTATTACTTGAGGATGGCATTATTAAAAAGAGTTTTTCTCAAACCATGGAAATAACTGGGGTGTTGAAATGGTTCTTGTGGTTTGTTCCTTGCCTTTCCCTTGCTACTGGTTTCTGCAGTGCTCAGCATCTCTGCTCCCATTGTCTCTGCTGGTTAAAGGCTGGGCCCGTGGAGGAGGTTACCTGCAAGTGGGACATATCTGCCTGGTTTCAAAATGCAGCACCTAAAGGATGCTGCCCTGTTCTTCTCCAGCTCTAGAGGCACAGAGTATCATCTGTAGAGGTACTTGGCACACTGAATTTTTAAGGTGAAACCTCACTGGAACTGAGCATCGAGGGCACTGAGCGTTTTGATTTTCATTTGTGCTTCAGCCTCTGCAAACCAGGTATCCCTTCATCTCTTCCTGGAGAGATCAGTGCCAAAAGCATTCTGCCAGCATTTCACCTGGAGCAGATTTTGCACGTGATTTAGCAGAGTTCGTGGCATTCCTTTGGAACAGGTTCTGATTTAGAAGATGGTGGATTTTCTTAAGGGCGGAACAAAATCAATTCTGGGTCAGGCTGATGTCTCTGGCTGCAGTTGTTGTGCAGATTCTCAGGTGAAACATGTGAAAGCCAAAGCACAGAGAAGATCATCTTGTGTTACTAAACTGGGATCAGATTTTTCTGGCTTCTGAAGGAGGACCTTAATCACCTAATTAAGGCTAATTTGAGATTCCTCAGCTATTTTATTTTTCCTTCTTGATTTACTATGAATTTTTTTGTTGCTTAAAGGTTTAGGATAAGGAGGGAGAGGGTGGATGCAATTGAAGTGTTCCTGATTCTTTTAGTAAAAATACAGAAATGCAGTGATAAACCTCACAAGCACCATTAACTGTGAAGTAAAGTGGTCGAGCTGCAAACAGGCAGCTGGAATAACTTAGGAATTACAGACAAAGGAAGAAATACTGTCTTGAGTGTCAAAGGGTTTATATGAATATATGACAAGTGCTTTCATGGCCTCTTTTGGGGTTATGTGTAACCTCTGCTGACACATTTTGGGGAACGTTGCTTTTTATCCCTCCAGCACTTCTTACTGTGCACAAAAAAAACCAGGGACATAAAAAACCATAGGATAAAGTAGTTCCTGTGGGAAAGTGATGCAGGGTATAGATTAATTAACTCTCATATGTGAGGTAAATGTGTCTGTTACCCTGGTAGATGGTTTATCTTTGCACCAGCCTGTATATTAAGAGTAGTACACACAGCCTTTTGCTACTGTTTAACATTGTGCTTTAGTCAGGTGAAGTAATTCCAGAGCTCTGTCTTGGGTTTATATTGAAAACAAAAATAAAAATAGGTGTTTGCTTGTTTTTGGTTTGGTTTGGTTTTTTGTTTGTTTGGGTTTTTTGTGTTTGGTTTGGGTTTTGTTTTTTTTTAATGTAGGTCTTAATGATTTTTTTTCTTTCACTAGATTTTTTTTGTCTGATTAAAAGCCTGTACAATTCTTGGAAGTTTTCCACAAATCAAAGGGGTTTGACTTAATCTACAGTCTTTAGAAACATTCAGAGCCATTTGTTATGTGAATTCTGGGTAGAAATAATTTGGAGTTGGGGAGTGGAATATAAGTTTGGGTTCGTAGTCTATCTCTAAGCAATATATATGACGCTTGATAAACTTTAATGACAAAAATGACTTTGACAAACCAGATGAAATTACCAAAACTTTGAAGTAAAATTTAAGAGATAAATATGCACTGTTACAATTTAAAAGTACATGGCAGGGAATAAGTGGTAATAGAAGACAAGTGTTACAGGGCTGCTATTCAATGCAAATTGAATGAGCCAGCAGCATCTGAAAGAGATCAAAATCAAATTGCTTTGTTGTAATTTGTAATAGTACTTCCCTTTGGGGCCCTGCATTTTGGGCCCTGAATTTTAAAATTTAAAATCAAAAATGGAGGGAAGGTGTCCTTTTAAGAAATTGCAAAAGGTGTGAGTTGAGAAGAACTTTAGAGGAAATAATTTCAGACCAACAAGAGAATGGCAGATAGTTTTTTAAACAGTATCCAAATATGTAAATGGGTGAGAGGAGTGAAGTGCAAATGCTGTGTCGTGTCTGTGTGCTGGTTCTCAGAGAAGCTGTAGTTTGGATTTTCAGCAAAAGGAGTTGCTGCAGACGAGGGAAGCTCCCTGACTCCAATCACTGTATCTGGGGATGCAGATTCCACTCCAGTGCTCCTTTAGGAAGGGTTGGTTTGCCAGTCACCTGCTGTAGCTCTGTCGGGATGTTTGTGAACCTGCCCCTGCTTGGTGATGCCTCAGCTCCTCCCTGAGATCCTGTCCCGCCCACCTCTCCGTGGTTTCCCCTGGAAAGAATTCCCATGGCTGTAACAAACCTAGCTTTTGTTGTTACAGCATGTGCTGCTGGGTCCAGCTAATGGCTTACAAATGTTTACAGCATTACAAGGACTGTACAAACAGGGACAGCAAAAACAAAATCTACTCCTTCAGCTTCCCTTTACAGACAGGTAGATGAGCCAGGACTGTGTGTGCTCTGTTGCTGATACTTGACCTTGCACTATCTCCCTGCAGTTCTCTCTGCTGGGTTCTCCTTAATCTCATTTCCACCTCCCTTACCTTTCTGGGCGAGAGGAGGGAATGTGTTGCCCTTCTCCCAGGCTGCATTTGCTCACTGACAAGCCAAGTAGGTTGGATAACTTGATCTTTCCCTTGATGGGGAAGATCCCACTTAATTTGGACACTCTGCTCTACCTTGCTACCAGATGACACAAATTGTGTGACACTCACACCTCTTAACACTTCAGCTCTTCTTTCTAATGTGGTTTGGTGAATGAATTTTAAAGCTTTATTGCCAGGGGACTGATGCTGCATAAATCCCAGAAGCAACTAGAAAACCCTACAAAAGGTAATGATGTATTGCTGGAAATTTTGTTAATTGAATCTGATGTTTCCCTGGATCCAGGGCATTGTAGAATGTGAAGCCTTTTAGGGAGAATGGAACACTTGGTCTCCAATGGGGAGAAAGGGAGATGGTCCAGAGATTTAATCACGTTCATTATCATTATTAGGATATTTGTAGAAGTGTGGGCTGACGTGTTTCAGTACTGGGAGCTGGAGTTTCTTGCATCCTCCAGACATACCATCCTTTTTCTTTTTTTATCAAAGATGAAATGGATCACAGACTCTCTAAATGAAGAAATTTGAGTCATGGGAAATCTGTTGCTAATTCAGGAATAAACACCGGATCCTCATAATTCCCAAATCATAAACTTCCTATTTCATTCCGGACTCAGAACTTTTTCTGTATTCATAGAGCTACAGTTTTCCCAGCATAAAGTGAAAGAAAATGTTCAGGGTAAAAAAAGCCCTCAAGGCTGAGCTGGCGTTCTCCAAATACTAAATACACAGTGATAACACAGAGCAAACCACTGGAGCAGCCACCTGTCATTATCTCCCACAAAGAGCATGAGAAGAACTTCAAGACTGTATAAAATGGGGCTCACAGAGTAAATGCTTTTGAAAAATGTTTCGTTAACTAAGATTGTTGCAATTCTGGAGGAAGAACTGTGGTGTGCAGTTTTACCTCCATCATGTGTGCACTTGTTTGCCAAAGGAAGTCAAATGATGTTTAGTCATGAATTACCCATGTTACCCACGATAAGGGGAAACTTTGACTTAAAATTCCAGCCATTTATGTAGTTTGTTTGCATTGGTTTTCATATCTAGTCCTATACTTGAAATTTTTCCACAGTAGTTATATAAAAAACCAGTTGACTGATGCTGAATTTTTTAACTAAGCCAGAGACAATGGCAGCTTGTCTTTTCCTTTAATGCTAAAAATTCCTTACAACAGTCTCAGTCATCTTTTTTCCATTAACTGGTTGAGCAGGTGTTGCCTTTGTTCTGCACAGATACTTTTCATGGCCCCCATCATTGCATTATTTGAGTGCCTCCCAAGTACTCTTCCGAAAACATCCTGCTGGGATAGGAAAATATTGCTATCCTTATTTTGTAGATGATCAGCTGAGATATTTGGTGATCTGCCCACAGCCAAGCTTGAAATCCGTGGGAGAGTTCAGAACAAAACCTGCAGTCCCTGCTCACTGCCTTTGCTCACAGACAATGCTGCCTTCTTTTTTTGCACCAGCTGTGAACCTCAGTTGCATGTTTAGGAGATGATGTTGACATTTCCACGTCAACTGGTTTATAGTTTTGTTGCTGCCTGTTCTTGGATGCAACTTTTTTTTTTAATTTACTTTGGTTTAAAATTGAAAAAAAAAATCCTGGAACTACTTAACTTCTTTATTTCTCACCTTATCAAAAGAGGAGGGAGGACTATTACTGGTTTGCCATCTGATTTATAAATATTTAATAGGGATGATCAGAGGCTGGCACACATGCTGGAGATTTAGTAAGTAAACTGATAGATGGCAGTAATGAAGTTACTAATTTAGCTGTGCAAAAATACTGGAAAAATACAGGATCACCATTCTAAACAGCAGTTATTTGGCAGCTCCAGCTTGCTTTCAGGCCTCAAACACACTTGAACAATGCTTTTAGCATTGTCTTTATTTGTACTTCTTGTATTCTGTTCTTTGAGGTGAGTGAATGGTCTGACATTTCAAAGCTGGTGGGCTCTCAAACATCACTTTGAATTTGGAAAACTGGCCAGGAGGCCAATTGCTCTCCAGGATTTCACTGACAAAGGATCCATCAGCGTTTGAGAGGGTGGGAAATTCACATCAAAATAGAAAATTGAGTGCATTTTTAAGTGCAGGTTCTGTTGCGTGGTAGGTGTGTGTACGTGTGATGTGAAATGCGATCTCTGACACAACTACAGGTCACTGGGCTGGATGCAGAAATTATGGAGTTGATTTGTAGGGATCACGTTACCCAGCCTGTCACGTGAGGTAAGACCAGAAGGGATTTCAATTTTTATGCTTAAAATTAGGGTAATTGTGTAGGATTCTGGCTAAAATCAGGCTGGTTTCGTTAGCTTCCAGAGAAGAACTGCTGCTCTGTGTGTGCTGCAGAACTGTAACACTATAGCATTGAACTGGGGACTGGTGGTGTAACAAGGACCTTGCACCACGAGCATCCTACGGAGGGGAGCTGGAGAGTCAGTCTGGCCTGTATAATTTTATTATGTTAGGTCTCCTTCTTGCATTTAGGAATGAACTGGTTCCTCACATAGCATGCTGAGCTGTTGACAGTGCTGCTCTTACTATTATTGAATACTGATCTTAGAAAGTAAAACTCGAGTCTTTAATGTGTCTTCCCTTACCTGGTCAATACCAGTGAGAGTAATCTTGCATTTCACCAAAACTACAGGTGTTTAGTTTCCAACATCCTGGATAATTGGTGGTTCCTCTGAAAAGACTTGAACAATTACTTGGTGTAGGAAAACGCCTCTAAAGAAGTTCCCTGTAAGACCAGAGGCAAAGGTGTTAAACCCAGACAATGAAACTTAGATCAAAGTAACCATGAGAGGAGCAGACTGTCCTTTACGCTGCACTGTGCTGTGTAAGGTGTTGGCTCTCTCTTTCTCTAATCAGATTTCGCGAAGGAAGCAAAGCTATTCTTTCCTGATGTAATTCAATCGGAGCCCTCAGCTAGATCAGCAGGAAAAGCACCTGCTTTTCTTGCTTCAGATTTGGTGACTGACCCCAGTTTTTGATAGGAGTTGGTTAATCCATAACCTGAACGTGTGCCCGCAGCAGCACCTGCCGTGCAGGTGAGCTTTTAATCTTGTTAATATACAAATATAGTGTGGGCTTTTATATTAATCTCACACACGTACACACCCAATAGTGAACGTCATGCGTAGGGGAATTTAATAAAATGAGCTCATAAATGTCCAGTGTGCTTTTTGTTGGGCAATAAAGTTGCCCACGTGTTGTAATTGAGGTCTGAAGTTGACTTGCTAGCTGAGGCCTTTCTTGGGTAGATTACACAGACTTAAGAGAGAACCTGAAAAAATGTTTTTCATGCTCTGCTTTTCGTCCTGTTTTGTCCACCAACCTTTCCTCCTTTAGCTCTGTCTTGGGTTGGTGCCCACTGTTAATATCTCCTGCCATCAAACTCAGCACTTAAAAATTAGGCACATGTTTGAAACATCTGCTTGGCTGAGACCCTCCACAGTGACTATTAAGCTTTTGCCTCTGACATTTTCCAAAGTCCTCAGTTCTCGTCTCATCTCCTGCCTGACCCTGATTCAGTCCTCTGGAGACCTGTAAAGCAGGACCCTCTGCTTCCTCATTGTGCAGATATTGGAAAGTGAGGTGTGGGCTTGAGGTTCAGGTTCAGGCTTAGAAGTCTTAAGAATACTTAAGGCCTCATACA